TATTATTATCATTATTATTATTCAAAAACATCAGGTTCAGTTCATCAAAATGACAAAAACATGGACTGGGTATTCTATAAAAGATGCAAGTTTAAACTAAAAACATCATCATCATCATTACTGGGAGTTTGATTCCGCCCTCAGGGCCTCCTTGACCGGACTGGGGGTGGGGGGTGGACTCCGTGATCCATAAGGCTCTGCCATTCTGAGATGATGATGATGATGATGAGTCTCTGCCATCATAAAGAAGCAGTCACGAGGCTTCCTCCCTCTTTCAAGAAGGGCTATTTTGGATTCAGCAGCTGCGAGATGTCAGGCGAGGATTTCTAGAAGAGAGTCAAAGCCAGGGAAAGGGGGGGGGAGGCGATTCAAAGGCAGGATCCGGCCCAGAAGGAAGAGGCCATGCCTGGCCAGGAAGATTTCCCCACTGGATTTCCCTGCCAACCTGGATCTGACCCGCCGCCAGGTTTTGTCGGCCGCCTCCTTAAGCCCCATCTACTCTGGAGTCAATCCAGTTCAAATCCCATGGGGCTGACTCCCAGGTAAGTATAAATGGAGGGGAAAGGTGGGGGGGAGGAGAGGAAGAATTTCACAGCTGGTTTTGCACCATCATTTCAGGAGGATGGAGAAGACCACATCTGGAGGGCGAGCCAGGGTATTTCCAGATTAAACACACCAATTTTTAAAGAGAGAGAGAGAGCATATAAAACCCAGCAATGCTACCATCAAATCCAGTTCTCTGCACTGGGACATATTATCTTTCCTTCTTTAAGCATGGTGAATTAAATCTATTTAATAGAGGGAATGGGGAAATAGAATTTTTTAAAAAACTGTGTCACTGTCCTTATAACAGGATAAACTAGGCAGACATTGCATGGGCTGAAATGTGATGTGATGTGTGTGTGTGTGCGTATTTTTGGGTGGTGGTGTTTTTATTTTTTAAAGGAAAATAATATCAGTTTGATAAAGGTTCAGTTCTCTTCTCACCCTTTCCTTGGGGAAATCAAGTCAAGTGGGTCAGGAAAGGTTTTATATTTTGCACACACACCCCAAAAAAAGAAAACCGTGTAAATAGACACACACAAGGATATATATATATATATATATTTGCAGGGGGAGACAGACATACATATACATATATATATTCCTCCCCCCTGCAAGCTCTGGCCACTCAACACCACTATCCCTCCCAGTTCATCTTCCTTCTCTATTTATGCTCAAGATACAGAAAAGGGTCTCACCTATTCCTTTTCAAGAAAATAAAAAGGGAGAAAAATATCATGGCAGAATACAGTACATGTTTAAAATGTCAAATGAGCAGTCGTTTTTTTCTTCAAAACATCCGATCAATAGGGGAGGGAGAGGATTAATGAGGCGGGGAAGGGCTATTCCTAATTTTCAGTGTGGGGTCCCCCCCATACGTTTATGGAAGTAAAAAAATAAAAAAGGGGGGGGAGGGGAAGAAAAAAATAAAGTGGTTATTCTGACCACTATACTTATTTTCTCCAGTATAAAGAAAAAGTGGAAAATGGCAATTATTTTTTAAGAAATCAAAATAAAGGGACTGACTCATGTTTTTTTTTTTAAAGGAAGGAAAAATAAGAGCCCAGCCTTCAGAGAAAAGGGATGTGTTCCGATCTGCTCTGTGATGGACGAAGACCGGTTTAATATCTTCAAAATTGGAGAGAGAGTTGATTCTCTTGCTCTCTGATTATTTTTAAATCTGATTTAAGTCTTTTAAAAAAAGAGAGAGATGAAACGTTCAATGGGTCTCCTGCCCAAGCGGGGGTGGTGGGGAGGAGGCGATGCTCGAAAAGACCCTGGTAGGGAAAAACGAGCCGGAAAAGGAGGAGGGGAGGGAGGATCGTAGGTCTTCAAGACAAAAAAAATGATGGTTACAACTAGGAGCATAAAATGGGAAGAAGGAAAAAAAAGGGGGGGACTTACCTAGTCAGTGATCATCTTCCTCCCTGGTGCAAAAATAAAGCAAGCGAAGAAAACCTCCAAGAGACGGCTAAATCATCATCATTTGGAAGGGAGTCCCCGCACCCGTCCCTCTGAACCAATTTAATTGTGATTTAAAAGGGGGGCAAAACCAGGATTTATGAATGAAAAGGGTCCCACCCACTTCGGAACGCGGAGGCACCACGTGACCTCCACACACCCCGAGCGGAGAGGAGGGCGTGGGCGTGTGTCATTCAAGGGCCGGCGGTGGCTTCCGATTGGACCAGCCTGGCGCTTATTTGAATAAAAGGAGGGCGGGGCGACAGAGGAGGAGGCGGGGAAAAGGTTACATAAAATGAAAGGCAGGCAAAGCCGCCCAGGGGAAGCGAGAAACGTTCCTTTTTTCAGCCGGCGGATGTGGGAAAGTAACTTTTCCGGACCACAGCGGCCAGCATCCCGGCAGGGAGGGTTGTGAATACACGCGGATTTCTCTCTAACTGGGGACCCCTTGAATCCATGGGGTTTACATAATTACCCACTGCCTTGAGTTGCAAAGGCATGGAGATCCGCCGATAAATCGGGAAACGTTGCTTTTCAGAAGGGAAAGGGTCGTCCAAAAAGTCCATCAAGGTTTTTGAGAAATCTACCTGGACACCCACAGAATATGGGCAGAGGCTTGCAGGAGGAGAAGAGGAGCTGATGTGAGACCGACTGACTCAATAAAGGAAGCCGCGGCGCCCGGAGTTTCCAAAACCTGGGAGTCCGGAGGGCTCTAGGGTCGCCCTAAATTGTAAGTAAGGCGATGGTGCACAGCATAGGCAGAGAAAGTTAGGGAGAGGGAGAGAGAGAGAGAGAATGTATACATGTGAACAAGAGCTAGGAAGTAACACAGTTACAAGTAACTAGTTTGGGGATCAGGCCTGATGAAACTAGTAGTTGCAGCCACTTTTAGGTGTGACAAGGAATGGCTTCCAAATACTGTAGGTTCCAAGACTCTCCATCGCTTTTGCAGATGCTGAAAAATGCAGAAATATTAGAACGCTGTATCTTGTGTGGCCTTTTGTTCTGGTAAATGCACCCTGGAGAGAACATATTTCTGATTTTTTAAATCTGTTTAATTTAGTGTTTTCAGCCAGTGGGGTTAAGTGAATCTGCAGATAAGTGAATCAGCGGATACTAAAAGAGGTGTCTCCTTCTGGGTGTCGCTCCTCGAAGGAAGAACCTCAAAAGCACGGGGAAGGGGTAAGAGACAACCCCTCCAGGCCACTTTTGTGGTGTCAGGACTCAGCTCCCACCGGCACTCGGCACACACTCAGAGGAACCCCTTTCCTGCATTTGGACCCATCTCCCGAACGATGCCGGCTTGACTTGCTTTAAAGGAAACATTTTCTATTAGGACGGAAAAACTACCAACAGAGGCATTCAAAGAAGAGGTTATCTCCGCTATTTGAAAGAGCTCAGGTGGATGGCTCCGTTCCTGGGCTGACCCAGTTAAGAACGTCATTGGAAGCTCCTTTGTTTTGTTTTGTTGTTGTTTTTTCCTCTCAGGCCTGAGGACAACACCCAAAGCCGGGCAGCAGCCTTGACGTCAAAGCAGAGGGACTGGCCTCTGGTCTTGGGAAGCAGTGCCCCCCTGAAAGGAACGAAGCTCCATCTGAGGTCCCCCTCGGGTTCGCTGGAAGCAATCACCAGTGAAGCGCTTGCCTTTGGAAGCTTAAGGCCAGATCCTCTCTCGTGCGCGATCCGGGCTGCACTGCAGAAGTACAGAGACTCACAGAGGAGACTAGCAACAAGTTCCCCAGATTGTCCACCCCTTTCTCATTAACTTCAGGCCTCACAAGGAAATGGGAGGCTGTCGTAATTTGGGTTGACCATGAGGAGACCAAACCTGCCATAATGCTTAGAAGGCAGTAGGAAAAGACGAAGGCCACCCGTGAGATGGATTCGCTCAATAAAGGAAACCACAGGTCTTGAGTTTGGAGGCCACTGGACTTTTTTGTGAGGCCCTTCATTTGTAAGGGCAACGTAAGTTGGAAGCCGACATGCTGGCGTAATACGTACAGGGGAAATATGCCAAAGGAAATGGCCGCCAGGAAAGCACCGGGTTTTAATCTTGCATCGGAACGAGGTCCACCTCAAGCCACCATTTTGGGATAAAAGCAGGGTGTGCAGCAGGCCCCTAAAATGAATAATAAAAAATAAAGGTTACTTACCTGTAACTCTGGTTTTTCAAGTGGTCCTCTGTGAATGCACACTAATGGGTTAAGCCTGTGCATGTGCAGAGGCCTCGGAACATTCTAGAGCTTAAAGTAATCATTTTAGCCCCTCCCCTCAGGACCTCATGGTCCGCCCGTCCTAACAGTTACCTCAGTTCCCCAAATTCCGCTGCTGCTCTAAGGCGAGACAGCCGTGACGGAAAGAGGGGAGGACGGGCGGGCCATGTGAATTCACAGAGGACCACTCGAAGAACCAGAGTTACAGGTAAGTAACCTTTCTTACTTCTTCGTGGCCTCTGTGAATGTAGACTAATGGGTGATTAGCAAGCTACCTCAAAAAAGGAGGAGGGACGTCACGGCAAAACAGCAGACAGGACTGCGTGTCCAAAAATGACATCCTCCTTGGCCCGCAGATTCAGGCGATAGTGAAAGATGAAGGCTGATGGAGCGGGCCAAATGGCAGCTGTGCAGGTGTCTAACAGCGGGACATCCGTGAGGAAAAACTGTAGAAGTAGCCAAAGTTCCGGTAGAGTGAGCATTCACCAGGCGTGGTAGTGGATTTTTTTTTCAGTTCACACGCTACAGGTGATTAGACTTGCGAAAAAAAGCAGTCCTGTAAACATAGAACGATGATGCTCTGCAAACATCTAGCAGGTGAAGTGACCTCTCTACATCTGTAGACGGTTAGGAAAGAAAGTGGGCAGACCGATAGGCGGCCGAACATGAAACTCAGTAGAAACTTTGGGTATGAAGGAGACATCTGGGTGCAGTATAACTTTGTCCAGGTGAAAAAGTAGGAAGGGAGGAGCCACCTGAAGTGCTACCAGAAATAACTGCAACTAAGAAAATAACCTTGAAAGTCAACAAATGTTCAGCAGTTGTGGTCAGTGGCTCAAACGGTGAATGTGAGAGGCACTTAGGACAGTGTGAAGAGTCCACTGTGGTATAGACTGCCCCCTTGGAGGGAAAACCTCTTCATTTAGGGTAGCGAAAACAAGGCAGAGAGGCAGGGAGATTATGAGTAGTGGCAATTTTGGTAAATGCCAGCCAATTGCAGAAATAGAGTTGATTGGTAGAGGGCTTCCTGGAGTGTGATAATGTGGAGTTTATTGAGGAGGAATTCTCCACCCCGTGAGGTGAAGAGCTTGTAGGTCTGGACAGTACGTTTTCCCTTGATTCTGGGTCAGAAGATGAGGAATAGACATGGAGCCTGATGACACTGTCAGCAGCGTTGTGAACCACAGACGTCTGGGTCAGTATGGGGCTATGAGGATCAAGGTGGCATTATCATGTCATGTCTTCACTATTATGCGCAGTAGGAGAGGTATTGGAGGAAACATGTAGATGAAGCACCATGAGGGCGTCTTCTAGAAAGTTTACCCCTAGTCCAGGCCATGAAAGATAGATGGCACACTAGCTGTTCACCTCAGTTACAAGGGCATCTATGGCAGGAAAAAAAAACATCTCTTGCAGATTTTGATGAATGTGCAATGGTCCAGAGACCACTCGTGTATTTGGTATGTTTGCCTGCTCAGATGGTCCGTCCATGTGTAGTCCTGGGCAGAGATGTGCACAGCAGATGGAAAGATGTGGAATTCTAGACACCACTCCCAAAACTGAACAGTCAGGTACAGTAGAGGAAGAGAATGCGTGCCTCCCTGTTTGTTGATGTAGTACATTACTGTCGCATTATCCGTAGTAACTTGGACAGCCATGCCTAGGATGAGAGGGAGGAGTGCCCGAAACTCTTTGAAGATGGCCAGCAATTCCAGATTATTAAAAAGGAGAAAGCTTTACTTCACTGACCAGGTGTCGTAGATATGAAGACTGGTACAGTGGGCTCCCCATCTGACCAGACTCAGTCTGTCGTGATTCTCGAGGTAGATAGGAGCAGAGCAAACACTCGTCCCAGGGACAAGTCTTCTGAGTTGATTACCACCGGGGTTGGTGCGCAAGCTCACGAGTAATCTGGAGGTGTATGTAGGGCGTATCTGTCATGGGGTTAAAGTTAGGTTACTTACCTGTAACTTTGGTTCTTCTAGTGGTACTCTGTGAATTCACACAATTGGGTTAATCCTGTGCCTGTGCAGGACGTCCGGAAGATTATAGAGCTTTAGAAAAAGAGTCAATTAGCTCCCCCCTCCTGCGGGTATATAGGCCCTGCCTCCATCTTCCTTTCATTTCCCCAAGTCCGCCGTTACCGTATAAAATTAGATAAGCATGGTATCATAGAATGGTACCGTGACAGACAGAGGGGAGGAAGGGAGGGATGTGTGAATTAGTGGTCTCTGTGAATGCACACAATTGGGTGAATAGCAAGCTGTACTCACCGGAAAGAGGGCCGTCACGGTATCAAGGATGACAGTATTGCCCGTCCAAACGCCGCATCATTTTTGGCTCTGACATCCAGGCGGTAGTGTCTGGCAAACGTCAGGTGGCCCAGGTAGCTGCCTTGCATATATTCTGCAGTTGAACACCTTTGAATAGGGCTGTCAAGGTGGAATGGGCCTTCAGTCCATCCGGAACAGGCTTAGGAGCCAGCTGGTAAGCCAGCTGTATGAGTTGAACAATCCATCTAGTGATTGAGGGGAAGCAGGAGCACCTTTACGTGATCCGTGGTAACACAGGAGAAGACGCAGAGAGCGTCTAATGTGCTTGGTACGATGCAGGTAAAAGGCAAGGGTCCTTCTGACATAGATAGAGTGGAGTTTGCCCTCTAACAGCGTAGTCGGAGAAGGGAAAAATGTTGGAAGCACAATGGACTGATTAATGTGAAAGTCCGATACCACCTTTGATAGGAAGGAGATGTCCATGTACAAGGTGACCTTATCGGGAGGCATCTGGAGATAAGGAGGGTCTGACCGTAAAGCGGCGAGTTCACTCGCTCTTCTGGCCGAAGTGATAGCCACCAGGAATGTGGTTTTTAGAGAGAGCAACTTCTCTGAGCAGGTAGCCATCGGCTCAAATGATGGCTTGGTGAGGGCTTCCAGTACCAGTGGAAGGGACCATTGTGGTACGATGTTTTGAGAAGGAGGTCGTATGTTTTGGAGGCCTTTTAAAAATCTTTTAAGTGTAGGGTCGGAAAAGAGTCTGGCAGAGCGGGATCGAGGAGGTTGGTGAGCGACGATTGTGGAAATGTAGACTTTGAGAGTGGAGTGAGCAAGTCCCATATTGAAGAGATGCAGCAGGAAGGTAAGTACTGTGGGTAGGGATACCGGTACTGTGGTCATGCCTTTGGTTTGGGCAAACTTGGTATAGGCTTTCCATTTACCCTTGTATAGGTGAGAGGTGGATGGCTTTCGCGCTTGATCTAGTACCTCACGGAATCGGGGGTTATCCTCCACGCCGTCAGGTGAAGGGACCGGACATCGGGATGGAGAAGGGCCCCGTTGTTCTGCAAGAGGAGGGACGGTATCTGAGGTAGGTGGTATACTTCCTCCGTTATTTCTGATAGGTGAGCAAACCAGGGCTGCCTCAGCCACCATGGGGCAATGAGGACTGCATTTCTTCGGTACTGGATAATCCTGGTTGCCGTCCTGAAAAGCAGTGGTATTGGGGGAAACAGGTAAGTTAGTTCTCCCGACCACGGTATGAGGAAAGCATCTCCGAGGGAGGAAGCGTCCATGCCCGCCCTGGAGCAGTACCAGTCGCACTTGCCATTGAGATGGGATGCGAAGAGGTCTAGTGTGGGCTGCCCCCAATGGTGGCAAAGTTCGAGAAAAATCCGCCTGGTCTAGAGCCCATTCGTGCATTCTGGTGAGCAGCCTGCTCAAATGGTCCGTCAGGGAGCTGTCCCTGGAAGCAATATGGATCGCTTGTGGGAAAATGTCGTGTGAACGGCACCATTTCCAAAATCGAATGGTCAATCGAAGGAGAGGTTTGGATCGGGTTCCACCTTGTCTGTGGTATTGTCTGTTACCAATTGCACTGCACACCCTTGTATGCGCAGCAGGAAGGATTGGAAGGCCTTCATGACAGTTAACAGCTCTAACTGATTTATGTGCATGAACCTTTGGGTTGAAGTCCAGAGGCCGTGAACTCGTAGGTCTTGGCAATGTGCGCCCCATCCTGAGGGGCTGGCGTCCATGACAACTTGTATGGACAGGTATGGAGGGTGGAATGGCCTTCCCAGTGACAAGTTGCTGGGTCTTGTCCACCAAACGAGATGTCAAGCTAAGTGAGGAGGGATTTTTAGCTTTTTTGAGGATGTGTCGGTCACGGGATCGAACTGAATGAGGAACCAAGATTGCAGGGGTCTGAGTTCCAATCTTGCATATGGTACCACTGAGGTGGTGGATGCCATCAGGCCTAGGATGTGCTGTATTTCATGCACTGTAACTGTTGTGAGCGGTGTGGGTTTGCAGACTGCCACCTGGATCTTGCGAATACGCTGTAGTGGCAGAAAGGCCTTTGTGTGAACAGAGTCCAGAGTTGCTCCTATGTAGGAGACTACCTGGGAGGTTATCAGGTTCGACTTTTTTGCGTTGATTTTCAACCCTAGTTTCTCCAGGGTGGAGAGGGTGAAGTCCGTGGCAGAAAGGGCTTTGTGGTAAGATTGTGCCACCAGAAGCCAATCGTCGATGTAAGGGAAAATTTTTATCCCCTTGGTTCGGAGGTATGCTATGACTGGTGCCATGCATTTCGTGAATGTTCTGGGGGCCGTGGAGAGCCCGAACGGTAGGCCATGAATTGGAAGGTGTCATGGTGGAACCGGAATCGGAAATTTTTTTGATGAGATGGGTGGATGGAAATA